CCGAACAAACAACGGTATATTGCCGGCTCATCTGCATGTTCTACTAAGGAATTGTCCGTAATATTACCCAAAATTTTGTCCGCAGTACGAAAGGGATTACAGAAATATTGGGACACTGTTTAAACGTAGTAGCATTAACCATATGTGGATTTTAAAAAACTCAAAAGAACTTCTGAAAATGTTTTAATCGCGGTCATTCTCCGAAATAAATTTGATCAAAACCTTCGATTTTTTCACCCTTTACATCACCATACCACATGAAAAATTAAAGACCCGTTTTAAAAAAATAATCAGGAATACTTTCATACATAAAATGGTACCATACGCTACAACTTTATTGTTTTGTAATATAATTCTACATATTTTGTAAAAAAAATATCCAGAAAAAGAAAACTTGCTCCACCGAAAAACAAGTGATCAGTATGCTAGAGTTTCAATATCATTGACAACATATTTGTTGAATTTGGAGGTAAAATTTTCCAGCAAGTTGTAGACATTCCTATGGGAACCAACTGTACATATTTCCTGTCAGTTATTTTTTAACTTTCACATGAGTCGGAGTTCCTTCAGACACTAGTAAAAAAACACGAAGATCAAAGAAACTAGATCATTAAATTTCACATACAGATATATTTATGTTCTTTCCATAAACAATTCAAACTTTTCTGATTGGGTCACATTACTATATCCTCCGGAACTAGAGATAAAAGAAACCACAGATACAGCCTCCTCCGTATCATTTCTAGACATTAACCTCGAATTTGATAACAGGGCTAATATCAGTACCAGGATCTAAGACAAACGAGACGATTTCAATTTTGAAATTATGAGTTGTTTCCCCACCTTATCAGCAATTTACCAACTTCAACCACGTATATGGAGTATACATTTCTCATCTCATACGATATTCAAAGCTTGCAGCTACAGGAAAACGTCGCCGGTGTCTGAGCAAATGATTAATGAGCAAGGATTTGGTCAAAAAACGCCAATTCCGTTTTCTCAAAATGGTTCGTCGAAAAGTACCGAGACCTAATAGATAAATACTACAGGTCTACTACACAAATAATACAAGGTTATCTTGAGTTATTGATTCCGGGTGCTGAAGTTGTGTGTCTTTTTATTTGCTTTAAAGCTTTCCCCATTGTTTGTCTTCCTGCTATCGTGTTTATTTTGATCTTTCTGAATGTTGACTTGAGTCGGTATTTAAGCATCCCGCTATCGGGTTTTTTTTACTTTGGGCGTATCTGGGGCAGATGTGGACTGAGGAGCCATTCGGACGCAAGAGGGTTTTTTCTATCTTGTTGTTTCCATTTTTTTACCCTTGTATTTATATTTTACTGAATTTGTACTATCTCGAGAAGGTGTGTGCTATATAGGGTTTGTACAATCAACTTCATTAACTTTTTTATCGGCGTCGTTGTCGAGATGCTATCAACATAAAACAAAATTTGTTGGCGTTTTTGTCAAATTTACTATCAACTACTGCACCTTTAAAAGCGTCTTCGTTGGATTTATTTGTATGTTTGTTTGAATCGTTTGGTCAGTTGTAATGTATGTTTACACTTTTTTTGCTGCTGGTTCCCAATTATTGTCACATTTTCCTATTATGTCTGTTTGAGTTGCTCAACCATTTTGTTTCACTATAACGGAACTATAAAAAATTTCATACAAATGGGAGGTTTAGCTAGCTATAAAACCAGGTTTAACCCACCATTTCTCCTGAAAATGCCTGTTCCAAGTCAGGAATATGACAGTTGTTTGTCATTTGATCTGTTGATTGATAACGTGTCATATCGTCAGTTTTTATGGACTTCCTCTTTTTGAATTTACCTTGGAGTTCAGTATTTTTGTTAACTCTTTTTCTCTAGTTTTATAAGGGTGTATGCCTGCCACTTGTTGCCCCTATATATTCTAAAGAACATGCGATATACCATAACGGTAATGTATGTCCATAATTAATATATTCATGTTGTCTCCCGTTATACGCAGTAAGGAGGACACATAAATACCGGGCGTCCTTTTGTCCGTCATTGCATTCGTCCGTCCAGTCGTGGTACCGCTCTCATCCGTAGAATTCTTGCCAGATTTTTATGAACATCATATGATAGTTAATATCAGCATTCATTTGTCTCGGACAATCTCGAAAATTAAAACTAGCTTTAAAGAAGTTAACATTTGAAATATAAATTATATGGTAAATAACAAATTATTACATTATATATTGGAAATATGTCTCATTTCGGGGCCTTTAATAGCTGACTATGCGGTATGGGCCCACTTTGCTCATTGTTGAAGGCCGTACGGTATCTACCATATGGAGTTGCGTTTGCAAGGCATCACTGTGGTATAAAAGTCAAGTCCAATAACTCCCGTAAAATAGTTGAATCATACTGACGGTAAAATATGGACAACAACACGTGATTATTCAGTAAAAAAATCGATTTAAAAAAACCAGTTTTCTGTATAAAAGTAAAATAACAAAAATACCGAACTCTAAGGGAAATTCAAAACGGAAAGTCATTTATAAAATGGCAAAATCAAAATCTCAAACGAACGAAAAACAACTGTCATGTTCCTGACTTGGTACAGGCATTTTCTTATGTAGAAAATGGTTGATTAAAACTAGTTTTAAAGCTAGCTAAACCTGTCACTTGTATGACAGTCGCATATATAGAAACAAATGTATCTTATTGATAAATGGCCTTAATTCACATTACACTTTAACACTAATAGCATCAATCGTAGGCGAGTCACATGATTTCGCAGAACCCTATGCAATTTTTTGAATTTGCCTGTCCAAAACATACCAAGGTGACATTTGAAATTCATAAGTACACAAAATACTACATAGAAAATTAAAGACTTACAGCAACGTGAAACCTTGCAAAAACTTGGGGTGAGCTCATGTGACCCGGAAAGGAAAGCAGATAATGCCCCACTAGAGGCACACTGAAGAACAAATTTGGTTATGCTACGATCCAAATATATGTACAGGAATATCAGTGGTCATCTGTGAAACAGATATTCCATTACGGTCAACCAACTCGTGATGGCTTTCGTACAACTTTTTAATGACTTCAATTTTAACAATTGCAACCCGTGGTTCCCTAGCTTACTTGTAAACAACAAGCCAGGAACCTCGGCAAATGTTGTTTTGTGTCTTAACATAATTGTGTTAGCCATTTGGAGAATCGGATTTACATGTAAATAGCACATACTTGATTATTCCTCCAGAATTCAGTCACAACTTTATAAACTCAAGACGATTAAGGGCTAGACACTTATTTGTTGTTAAAGACTGTATAATACACTTCATGTCTTTTCGATATGTTGGTCATTGTCTAACTGTCACATTGATGCATAGTGTCCTGTCTTCATCTTGCGGCCATCTCATTTTATTGTGTAGATTATCCTGAATATTACATTTTAAGGGTATGAAAATAATTTGTATAGTTCCATTTTTGAATATTAAGCGACTTACAACTACATCTCATTTTCGCTATGCAAACGTAAACGATCACTATCAATAGTGTAATTATAATTCTGTGTACTATATGGCTGTAAATATTCTATGTGGTAATGGACTTTTAACTTTGAAGTGGTTGCATTTCTTTTATTTTCCCTATTCCTCCGTTTTTTTTTTTTTTTTTTTTTTTTTTTTTTTTTTTTTTTTTTGCCCATTTAAACAGAGATCAGTCCTTGTTTCCTATGCATCCTATTCTGTAGTTGTGTCAAGTTTGAAATACTCCAGACTCCCTTTGTCTGTTCCTTTTCCCATAAATGGCAAAACTGATGAATTTCAAGAAATTTGTTTAACTGTTGATATTTTAAAGTTAAATTCACAGTATTGTGAGATTTTATTTGGGGGTTATGGATTAAATGAGGATTTCCTCGATTTCCTATTTGGGTGGTGAAGATTACTTGCAGATACAGATACAGATAGAAGCGTCTAGAAGCTCAGAGGAACCACAATAGAAATTGAAGAACGTTAACATATCATTTGTGTTAAAGAAAAGAAAATTAAAACTTGTATCATACAAGTCATATAAATCTTGATTGAAAATTGGTAAGTATTTACCGGGACAAAGACATCATTTAATTTTGAAGTTTATGTTAGGATACATATATTAAAACCCTTTCAATAAGTCTACTCTTGAATTTTACTTGAACATCATCTAATGACAGAGGGCATACGCAATACCCAAATTGCTACAGATTTTTATAGTTTGTTCTTATGTTGTACTGTTACACCATTGTTCCAGGTTAAGGAATGGTTTGGGCGCTCACCAACATGTTTAACACCGTCACATTCTTTATGTGCCTGTCCCAAGTGGGGAGCATGTAGGCAATCGTACTTCATCTCCTTATTTTCATATGGTACAATATGAATTGATAGATGTGATGAATTCTGATCATACTGATTTAGTGGGTTATCTTGAACTTGAAGTTATGGGGATGATTTTGCTCTGTATTGAAGGTCTGATGGACTCTGAATTTGAAATGAAATACTGCAATAATATCACTGTTTCTTTACATTTGTTTTTTTTTTCAACTGAGTTGGTTTATTATTATACACTATATCCCTTCTAATTAAATTTGTGTGCTAGAATGTGTTCTAAAACTACAGTGCCGTCCTTTGTCCATACAGAGCTGTAACTTGTTCCTGATTTCAATATTTATCTAAAGGAGCTTTTTGTGCCTTGTAAGATAATTACTCATTACAAATGCTGATGTTAAGGAGAGCATTAGGCATGTGGCAAAGCAAACAACTGCATCAACTTTCTGAAATGGGTTCTGATGTAAAACTAAGTTATGGAATACAGACATAATTTAAGAACCATATTTACTAAAGTATGAGTATAGTATCAAAGCCTAATGGATTGATTGTTGTTTGTTGATAAATGTCAAGTAGCCTAACAAGCTAAGGAGGAGACGTTTCTTCTATTCTTGGTTTCTGGACACACAACAACAGACTACTAATCAGGTGAAAAGAAAAAATATTTCAGTTGTGACCTTTCATCCTCAACTTTAGGTCAAGGATATTTATTTATTAAATAATAGTACAGTGAATTGTCACATGATCAAGTTGTGATAGTCACATGATATATCTATATATAGTAAGTGCGGTCATATGACAAATGTAGCATATAAAATTGTGGATCACATGATACAGCTTTTGTGAAAAGAAAACATACAAAAGGCGAAAAATAAATGATCTTCCGACTTGAAACTAGGTTTTGTTTTTATGCAATAATAAATTGTTAACATTCTTTATACATTTTGTTGCAAAATATCATTTGGTTTCAACACATTAAAGGAAGACCTTCTGATACTAAAAGAAGAATTTATAAAATCTGAAAATATGTAGGTGCCTCAGGCAGACACACAATTCATTACATGTGGCCTTAAGTAAACAAATAACCTGAATTGTCACATGTCCACAAAGTGTAAACATAAAATGTCACATGATACAAAACAAATGATAATCACATTTGACTTTTTTATACAAAATCACATGATTAAAACAAAAGAATGGGAAAAAAATCAAGGTCTGTCACTTTGTGGACTAAATTACAAAAAAAACATTCATCTTAGTAAAATATAATTTTCTTGAATTCAAAGTACAAAATACTAATTGCCTTTTACATGGTATGAATGAACCGTAGCAGACATGATATTTAAGCCTTAAATTTTGTCTATTTTGGCAGGTACATTAAAATCTTAGTTTCACTCCAAATTATGATATAGTCTAATCAAAATGGCAGTTACAAAAGATTCACATTTGACCTATTGATAGAAAGTGACAGACTTTGAACAACTGACCTCTCCATTGCACTATTGTAGTACCAGCACTTTAATGTAATGATTTCATTTTACAAATGGAAGTAGTATCACAAGTTTTCACAGTATCAGTAAATTTCTGATATTTGAAAAATCTTTTACTGTGGTAACTTTCTTTTCAAAAATGTTCACATTCATGTACATTATCATCTTTTAACAATCACAAAATACATTTATTTTAATAAAAAAAATTTAAACTGATGTAGATATAGATATGAGTGTATATATATGATAAATATATTCTATTCTTAAGCCATGAAATATGATTTTATTTACAAATTCATTTTAAAAAATACAAGCTTTCTATCAAAATATAATAACATACATGTGACAGACAGCAGTGGAACAGAACATTTTATAATTGTTGAACACAATACAGTACATGAATATTCACCAGGCCAGACAAGACAACTATGAATATTCATTAGGCCATAAACGAACACAAGACAATCATGAATATTCATCAGGCCAGACAAGACAACTATGAATATTCATTAGGCCATAAACGAACACAAGACAATCATGAATATTCATCAGGTCATACAACATTAGTTCTAATCTTAATAGACTGACATTGATTTGTTTAATTTCCCTCATCTGATAGAGTAAAAATAGCTGTTGTCAATTTTTTTTTTTTTGGAAGGAGGGGGAGGGGATTTTATATTAGTAACACTAATCTTTTAAATAGAACAAATTTAAAAATTTAAATCTAACAGGAGAAATAGGCAGGTCCAAGCTGAAAAAATGAAGAAATACATTAGAAATTTTTTCTTTGCATCTCTTGCAGAATTTTATATTCATTTGGCAGTTTAAGTGTCAAAAACAGGTTTCAGGTATCCAAACATATTGCAGGTGATGGTCTTGGGAGGGAATATCATCTTAGAAATTTATTTACTTTTTTGTGTATTCACAGAAGTGAAGATTGAAATTTGACATTTTTACAATGTTTCATATTCTTGTATATTTTCTACTTGTGAAAGTCCTGAAAATCAATTGGTCTACAGTGATTGAAAATTTCCCTCCACTTTCCCCAAGGGTCATTTAATTTTTATAACTTTTTTTAAATGTTTTGATGTGCAATAAAAATGATATATGGTTGAGAAATACTGAAGTCTCTCCAGTTTTTAGCATATTTTGTTGTGTTTTTTAACAAAAAATATAGATTATTTTAGCAGGAAATATTTGACATTCATCTAAATTGGATGTGCTTGTACAATATGTACAGTGATGTATATATGTATTATCTATTTACAGACTCCAGTCAATATTTGCATTCATATAGTATTAACATGAAACTGACAATGTTATTCATGTTATTAGTTGCGCTTGTTACATGTTAAAACTGAATTCATTTCAAATGAATTTTAAAATGAATCTTAATTTTGATTTGTTAAATGTAACCACAGGCTGTATTTGATCAACACTGCATTTTTTACCGGAAATTATAGAATGAATATTTTCATTTATCTAAAATATAATGGAAACTTTGTATCATATGTGAAATACAGCTCAGTTATACATTTTCATAGGAAAATATTGTCTGAAGTGACCAGCACTTATGGCGCAGCATTCATTTCGTTCAATAACTTTTTTTTGTATCAACAAAAAATTTCTATAAATTTCTATAGTATAGGATGAGTTGTAATTCTAAATATTCCCATGGGAAAATATGAAACAGGAATAAGCCATTAATGTGGGTTTTGTTTTGTAAGGAAATTAACAAAAGTTTAAAGAATAAAAATAACTCCATGTAAAAACATTAAACAGTTCAAAAAAGACTATATTCACTGTATTCCATGTTGTATATCAATCGAGAAATTGCCTCTTACAAACCGGGATAGATAACTCATACATTGTCATGAAAGTAAGCACTATACAAACATATAATACAGTATTTACAAACAAATAGACAAAATTTGTACAAAATGTAAACAAAAAACAAACAAAATTATCATTTAACAAATCACAGAATAGTACAATAACAAACTCAAGCCATCAACATAAATATTTGTTTTTATTCATACAATAACAAACTCTTTTAGGTCATTACATGTGTTTGGTTTCTCAGGTTTTTTGCTTTTTTAAAATATAACTAAAAATAAGGAGATATGGTATTATTGCCAATGACACAACTATCAAAGATCGACCAAATGATGTAGATGTAAGCAAGCCTTCAATAATGAACTATTTAGCTATGTCAAACTATTTGTCGGGTTGACTAAAAGATGGAAAGTTTACCATTCCATAGTACCTGAGTTTTAACCCTTGGTTCTTCGTGAATTTGTTAAATTTTTCTGCTTTACAGGGAACCAGTCTACATGTCTTTTTTGCCTTAATGTTTTGAAACCCCCTTATGCTTTGCCAGACTAGGCTGTACAAATATTTGCCCACCAACCCTTCTTTCCCTAAATTATTTTATCTCAAATGCTCATAAATTATTTTGTCAGTCTTGTTTATATATTTTTGACACAATTTAACATTCATTTCTTGCCATACATTTCATATGAAAAATCAAGAGACATCCTTTTCCCCCAAATAATTTGAAGTGATCAAATGCTTTTGTTTCAAAATCCATCTGATGAACTGATGATCATTTGAGATAACTTTTTCTTAGTCCAAGGACCATAGCTCTGCACAAAATCATCAGACTGGAACATAATTCGAACTTGATCTGTTACTTGTCATGATAAAACTATATACCAATCATCAAATCAATATCTTCAAGCATGACAAAAAAAAGTGAGGAAAACTGATTATTGAGTGAATTTTCTAAGTTCAAGGACCATAACTCTAAATAAAATCATCAGACCGGAACAAAATCTAAACTTGATCTGTAACTTGTAACTGTAACAATACACCAAATACACCAAATATCAAATCAATATCTTCAAGCACTAAGAAAAAAAGTGTTGAAAACTCATTTGCCGGACTGACGGATGGACAGACAGACAGTCAGACGGAGTGCAAACCTAAAGTCTCCTTCGACTTCGTCGGTAGGGGACTAATAAATGCTGATATTTTTGTATACCAAACTAAACAAGTAATAAAACAGATCAACCTTCTCTTTCCATCATCAAATTAAACAGTCAGAAAGAAAGATTAAAACCACGGAAATTCCTTAAAACACTGATCCTGGAAAAACACTGATGGGCTTATCAAATTTCAATATTGGAAGATCATTTTGTCAGTGCATTTCAAATATATATATATATTTCTAAAGAAAACATTCATTTTATAATAACATTTCTTGTTTTAAACCCATCTTAGAAACCTGAGAAACAAAACATTGTAAATAACCTTACAGAATAGTCTTTTTGCTTATACTTTAAGGTGGTACCAAACACCTTGACTAAAATTAATTTGGCTCATTTAATTTTCATCAAATTTTAACAAAATATTTACTTTGACCCATTTGACAAAAATATAAAATTTAAAAAAACTTGAACCACACACTTAATAGGAAAAAAAATCATTGGATATATAGCAGTTAGACAAACACTAATTTTGATCAATGAGAAGCTTAATATTTCCTTAACAATAGAACGTGATTAAAATGTTCAGCTGATTTTTACAGAGTTATCTCCCTGTAGTGTTATGTACCACCTCAAATTTCTACAAGACGTTTTCCTAAGGAGGGAAAATATTTTCTATTTTTATTTATGCCTTATTTAATGTTTTAAAATCTTTTAACTACAATTATCTTCATCAAGCTAAAAACTGTTGATATCAAAAGTGTTATCACTTTCAATGCATCATGCTTTTCATGGGCAGCAGACCATATTGTCTGGTTTAGAACCAGTCTATAATTGGCAAAGGGAGACAACTTGTGATAAAAGTGTGTAATAACAGAATCAAATCAGCAAATAGACTATTTTTGAAAATATCATTCTAAAACAGTATAATAAATTCAACTAAAACAATTGTACAAATGTCTTGTTACCTTAAGTAAAATCATCTTCCTTTGCAAAAGAGCTGTTATTTTATAAATATTCTGACTAACAATTGTCATAAATCTAGCCTTGATTTAAATAATATGCACAATTACAGGTTAAAATTTGTGTCTCTGAGGTTGAGCCCTTTCAGCCTTCTGAAAAAGACTTTTCAAAATGTTAGTATGCCCTATTATGATTTTATAAAATTTTTATTTCTTTGTTAATTTTAGAACTATGAAAACATGAAAGATGCACTTTTCAATCTTACATCAATATCTTGTATCTGGATTGCAAATCTGAGTAAAAAAATGCTTTTAAATGGGTTTTTTAATGGAAATGCTTTTGAAAATGTCAAATAATCTTTCAAGATCTGAATCTACAATATTACAGTGAAATTTACAGAGCAATTTCTGACTTTTGTGATCTTGATATGTTTTAATTGAAGATCATTGAGATTTTGAGGTAATTTATTAAAAGCTGACATAGAAATAACGTTTTTAATAACACATTCCCCTGCATGCCATATGACCAAAGCTTTATTAATTGTTGCTTGCTGAACATCCTGTCGCAATTATTTCATGCATATTTAGGATAAGAAACTATTATACCAATTCATACAATAGGCAGATTCTACCTGGTGGGACAACAGGGACGAACTGCCGAAGTTTTAACTTCGACCGGTAAACAATGGTACTTTAGATATAGGTGCAGGAATTTTGCCTTGCAGTCACATGACCCAGGACAAAGCTGTGAGATGCAAACCATTTGTTATCATGATGGTTATACAAAAATTGTTTCACACTGATCAGGTGTTTTTTTCTGAGCATCTCTACTGGGCATGTTGCAAAAATACTTTTTTGGTTTAAAATAATTTACTTAGCATCATTCAATATACAACAAAAAATATCTAAAACTTGAAATCTAAAGATTGAACAACCAAAAAATTAAATGTGGCTAAGTTACATTTAAAATTTTCAGAAAATAATCCTTTTAAGATCAACAGTAGATAATCATACTGAATTTGATAGGACAATTTGTTTTCAGGATTTTCAAGAAAAAAGGCCTGTGACTACCTACTTTTATTTGATAATTCAAAAGTATATAAGAAAAGCAATTCTCTCATTGAGTTTCAACCATTCTGTTCACTCAATGTTTTCTCTATAAGGAAAAATCAAGTTTCCCCTATTTAACCCATATAAAATAATTGTGATTTTGTTAAATTCAATGTATATTGACAAAAAATAAGGACCATAATCACCAGTTCTATATAGAAATTTGCAAAGTGCATTCACCCAGAAGTCTTTTTCAAAAGTTTTAGAAAAATCTATTGTCGAACATTTAAACACCCCAGTCACCTTAATTAGACACATCATGAGAAAGCAAGATATTCTTGCATAAACACTGTAAGTATCAAGAAACAAGGATCCCAATTGGCTGTTCTTATCCTGAAACTTCAGCATGCATTCATTATTACTATTGTTGCCCATCTGACAAAATGCTTGTTTAATTATTGCAATTTAGGAAATACTGCATACAAGTAATGCAGTCAAAATTTAAATTGTAAGTTTTACTTTTTGCAAAGAATACTATTACGTATTTATCTTAATTTGTGGTATTTCCTGTCATCATTTTCATCTGGTGCCTTAAAACTAGTACCGTTTTTTTTTAAAGTAGTATGCTTTTCCGATTCAATCTAATAGTGAAATATGACCCTAATTTCAAAGTGTGGTAAAATTATTATTTTTAAATACAGCAATTTTGGAAAACAGCTCTTAATTAGTTTTAACACATTAATTTTTCCATTCCTAGTTTGATCTTGTAGCTCTAGTTTTTGATTTCAGTCATGGTCTTCATTAATCCTCTTTTCAAATAAACAGTTCTTTAAAATATGAATTCAAATCCTTTATTTCTAGATTACTAAGTGGATCATCAAACTGTCATAAACTCAACACAACTCGTTCACTCAGAAACTAAATATATCCATATTACAATTTTTTTTTTCTTCAGATGAGTGTTTAAGTATTTCAAGTAAACATTTTGTATCTTTTTTTCGCAAACTTTTCGCAGACTTGTATAATACATCTTTTTATCTTCCAAAATATTTTATAGATTCTATGTAATTTTATTTATACATAAGTCTACAATGGAAATCTAATAAATCATGTAAGTACACTGGCCAACCATTTTGTACAAAGCAACCTCAATGTCGACAACACAAACAATTTTCATTGTGATTATCTCCCTTGATCGGATCATTCTGAAAGACTTTTGGTGGTTTTGTTCGATATTGGTCATTATTTTGATAAACATATAGATCACGTCGGCCCACTGACCACAAATCTATGCCGTAATAAGTCTTCTGCCGTTGGCCGATCTTTAACGTTTTTCTTAAAAGTCGAGGATAATAACAGATGGCATTCCTTTGAAATGTTACTAGGGAGTTTATATTGAGGATGATCTTCTGTGGCTATTTTATAAATGGCTGCCATCGATTCATAATCTGCATAAGGAGGTCTCTGAGTTAACATTTCTACTACTGTACAACCTAAACTCCTGAAAAATAAAAGTATTATTGTGATAACTGGTAATAAATATATTCCCATCAGAAAATAAAAACTAAACACCAATTTGGATTGTGTCCTTTGGATTTTCAAACTTGATTTTCTCTACCATGCCCTCCCTTATGGAGCACCTGAGATCACCCCCAGTTTTTTGGTGGGGTTTGTGTTGCTCAATCTTTAGTTTTCTATGTTGTGTTTTGTGTACTATTGTTTGTCTGTTGGCCTTTTTCTTTTTTAGCCATGGAGTTGTCCGTTTATTTTTCGACTTATGAGTTTGAATGTCCCTTTGGTATCTTTCGCCTCTCTTTTAATAAATTTATTGTCTATACTGTTATATACTCTTGTTTTAATGTTCTTAATCTTCTGAATGGTTTCAACACACCCTGCTCGCCTTAACTATGAGAGGTAGTGTTTGAAATATCTGGTACTTTAAAGGTAGGTTCAGGCCAATACCCATGCCAGTTGAATTTAAACAAAAGAAATGAAACTCTTTATTAGAGAAGGTAAAAAAGGCCAAGTTGGTATGATCTAATTGTTTTCATCTGTTTCTATGGGCTTTAAAAGTTAAAATTAAGATACATAATTTAGGATTTTGTGCCTCTTATTTACGTGTTTCTACTTACATTATAGTATGGAGCTTTGAGATGTTTGTAAACTTTTAAATTAGAGACAAATTGTCACAAAACAGTTGATGGTGGAAGGTGCAAATACATGCAAATCTTTTTTGTGCATAAGCATAAATTTCCCGAAAAAAATCCACAGAAAGATAAAAGATAAATCTATTTAATGCATTAGCTTGCATCTCTGCCCCCGGCCACAGTTAAGGGGGAAAAAGTCCTGAAAATTGTCAATAATTTCATCGAACAGAGAAAGTCTAGTACACCTTTTTATGTTCAGGAATGTTTCAGTTGACTAATTTGTCTTAAAAATGTATAAAATAAATGTATTTCATACATCATCTCACTTCAGATTCTATTATTTTTATACATATAGGCTACAGGTTTATATCATAACATTAAAAATTCACAGTACAAAAAAAAATGTATGGGTCAAGTGAAATACCTTTTGAATGAGTATTAATAACAGAGTAGGTGTGTTTGAATAAAATTTGTTTACTAAAAGTACTTGATGACAGTCTTTACATGTAGATCTTGAAAGTGCATAACTTCAAAACAACTTTTCTTGTGTTTTATCTAAGAGTTGGCAGTCTTTGACTGCCGAAATTTTTAGTCAGCCCCTCCACTAAATATTTAACTAGAATTCTTTTTAAAATTTTGGAACTTTTGAAAATCCCCCCTGAAAACCGATGAGACAATAATTTTAAGTTGACTAAAGACATAAAAGTATATCAAATGATGCTCAATTGCTAATAGATATATTTGTCTTTTAAAATACAAATGGCATATAAGGATTGTAATGCTGCTATGTGGATAAATTTATCAGTTTTGAAGAGCTAAATTAACAGCACGTCATCCCTACAATGGCTTTCATTTTACGATTGTAAAAATTAGGTGGCATAATGGGGAGATAATTTTGACGAGGTAGAATCCTGACTGAGGTTGGAGTGTGTTCCTACCGATTTGTAAGCTCTTGGTTATTTTGTATTGTTCACTTGCTGTATCATTGATTTATGCCCCATATATCTATTTTTTCGTAACATGTTCAATATCTTCCTCATAGTGTTGATCAGTGCAAAACATACTTCATACCTATGCCACATTCATTTAACTTTTCTAAAAAATATGGCTGGAAAAAAATGGCCTTTTTTAAACATGAAAGTTCATGGGTGAATTTGACATTTTAATTTTTGGGCATGTTCCAAAAAAAATGGGAAAATTTTGTGAAGTTTTTGTGCGGTTATTTTGTGGTCATTAAACATGTATTGAAGAAAAATGATTTACCAAATGTCAGCTTTTCTGCCGTATCCCTCTCCGTTGATAACTTCAGGAGCCATCCAGTAGGGAGTACCTACAACAGTTTTAAGTCCTGCTATGCTACAAATTGTCTGTAATCGTTTGGAAGAACCAAAATCTCCTAGTTTAACATTGCCATCACTGTCACGTAAAATATTAGCAGCTTGAAATAAAAACAGAATCTCATTTAAATAACTGTCATAAAATATTATTTGATGTGTTTGAGCTTTCAATTTTGCTATTTGATAAGGGACTTTCCGTTTTAAATTTTCCTTGGAGTTCAGTTTTTTTGTTATTTTACTTTAAACATACAAAAGCATTTCTATCTCAAACTTTCAAATTTATTCATATACTTTGTGGCGTTTGTGTTGCTCTTGTTTTTTCGTGCAGTGTTTTCTAGACAGTTGTTTTTCTGCCTTTTTAAATGTCTGAAACATAAGACTTAAACTTCTAATAGTATACATGGTTAATAAATTTTGATTGATTGTTGATGTTTAAGTGCCAGTCTTTGTAAGAATCAGGCAATTTTGAAAAAAATCAAAACATGGCCGAAAAAAAACCACCGCCCTATCCATTCTATTTTGAAGTTACCATCATCCTGAGTTAGAAATGCTAGGTCTTTCGTTTCTGCGTGTCTGGTAATTCGAGAAATCTCTTGATAAATTTTGGTTAGAATGATAGCAAATTACAGAGTTAGCTCCCCTTAATAGTTAATTTCTAGTGCATTTCAACCAAATTATATCTTGAATTACCAGAACAGGAAAAGGAAACGAATGTTATATTCATGCACCATTATACATTTTGATTAAATTAATGTCAACTTGAGATGGTTTTTGTTTCTCATGTTTTCACCACTGCCCGATTCTTAGGCAGATTGAAACTTTAAAACTACATGTTCAGGGCTCTTGGCTATATCATGGAAGACAGATTTGTTGGTGAAGGAAGCGAGAGTACCTAGAGAGAACCTTTGACCTTCAGCCAAAAAACTGGCAATCCTAGTTGCTGTAAATTCAGAAATTATTACATGCATTTATTATTGCGATTTTTAATAAACTGCTTCGTGGAGCGCAGCTGGATACGCCCGCAGAGGTCCAACCCTGAACAGTTGGGGCAAAAATGGACACAATATTCAAGCTTGACACAGGTCTGAATTTGGATTGTAATTAAATATTTGACATATTATAGGTTTCTGAATAAATGTAGTCAAAGAACTTGAAATTGGTTATAGGAATTGAATTTATATTCAATTACAGATTTCTTGCAGTTGTGCAATACACTGTGCTGTTGCGCAATACTTAGTAAATCTGTTGTCGGACTATAAACAAATAAAGTTCAATTTCTTCTTAATGTCATATTCGAAATTTATGAAAATCAATAGGGAGATTACATCAATAGCTATAAATAATTCACCAAAGTTTCATGAGAACTGCTGAAAGCATTTTTGAGTTATTGTCCAAAAACTGGAAAATCCCCCCTTTTTTAATGAATAAAACCCCATAACTCAGAAATGTAAAATCTAAAATTTATAAAATTCTAAAGAGAACTTACATCAACAGATATAAAAAATTCACCAAAGTTTCATGAGAACTGCTGAAAGCATTTTTTAGTTATTGTTCGAAAACTGGAAAATCACCCTTTTTTTATGAATAAAACCCTGTAACTCAGAAACGTAAAATCTAAAATTTATAAAAATCGAAAGGGAGCTCATGTCAATAGATATAAACAATTCAACAAAATTTCTTGCAAGTTGGTGAAAGCATTCTTGAGTTAATGTCGGAAAACTGGAAAATCCCCCCTTTTTTAATGAATAAAACCCCAAAACTCGGAAACGGTATATCTGAAATTTAAAAAAAAAACAAAAGGGAGCTCACGTCAATAGATATAAACAATTCACCAAAGTTTCATGCATATTGGTTAAAGCTTTTTTGAGTTAATGTCCGACATGTTGACGACGGACGGACGGACCGACGAGAGACGGTCAACAGTATACCATAATACGTCCTGTACACGGGCGTATAAAAAATGGACAAGAGTGCCAGTTTAATTATTGCGATTTTAGAAAAATCTACATACAGATCTATGGTTTAGTTATCAAAATGCAAGTTCTTATTATTGCGATACTCACCGAGTCGCATTATTTTCGCTTTAATAAAAACCTCGCAATAAATTTAGTTAATTAAGATCAGAGTGGAACACACTTGCCATGATTGTTTTTGAACTCACAACCCCCGTCTTGACAGGCCAGCAATCACTGTTGATGAACTACCACTTGGCCACAGAGGTCAATAAATTTTTTTTGAAGTTTTAGGCTTAAACAAGGGTTTTTGACACATTAATTTAAACATGACGACAGATGCTAAAATGTATGGAGCACTAGAGTTCTTCTTTATAGGGTTGTTTTTATGTTTGCCTTTTTTTTCCCTCTCTTTTAACCACCAAGTTGTCTAACTTCAACTTCTATTCTTTTTATTATACCAATGGTATCTTTTCATTTTTACTAAATTATCAGGAAACAAATACAGAACATGAAGGAACTGTTATAAAAGGATATGTGGAACTAATATCAATTGTATAAAAACATTTTTATTGCTTATTCAGGACAATCATATGCACGACAGAGCGAGACCCTCATGTGTAGTTAAGGTCGTTAAACACTCCCTAGTAGCATATGCACGAAAACCATTCCTGCATCAGAAATGCATTACAATAATGTCTGTATATCAATTTGTCTTAATTACCTTTAATATCTCGATGAACAATAACATTTTTGTGAAGAAAGGCCAGCCCTTCTAACACTTGGCGAGTATATTTGCGACAAACCACTTCGGTTAATGCCCCATATTTGTTAAGTAAATCTTTTAATGAACCCTGAAAAAGATAAATATCTAAATAACATAAGAGCTACATGAGGTGCACTCTTCAATACAGCATTTGGCCTTTAACAACAATATGTTATTTTCAAAGAATGTATATAAGTGGTCTTTTTTCCACATCTTTAAACATACCAAATCTTGAAAACTGACATGTGCTTCATTAAACTCTTATCTTCAAAAATGTTTTAATGCACATTTTACAGAAAAGCAGAAAATGATCAGTCCCTAGTAAGGAGTCTGAAATTCATGGGTTGTCATTGGATGTAGTCATATTTGTTTCTCTGTTTGTTGTACATATTTTATCATAATTCAGGACATTGGTTTTCTCATTAAATGTTTTATATTTTGACATCGCTGGCCTTACCTAAAATAGCTACTTTACAGTATAGGTTTTGCTCAATGTTGAAGAATGAAATTTTCCTTTGGGCCAAAAATAGCATTTAAATTGTTTGATGTTGCCTACCTACCCACCTAAAAAGCAGCCTATCTGAAAATTTTATTTTACAAATCATTTCAATTTTTTTTTTGAAAGATTTTTTCCAACCTTAACGTCCTTTTCTTGAATAAAATATGTAATTTATGTTGTTTGCAAAAAAAAAATCTCTACCTACCTACTCAACTCTACAAGGCATGGGTAGGCAACATCAAACAAAGAATTTGTTAAGGGTGGCCTTAGTTGCATGCATCCATGTATTTAAATGTGTGGTAGATTACTAATTGGCAATAATACCACATAACATTGCCTTTTTTTATACTGTCAGGTTATTTATACTCACCCCAGATAAGTATTCCATGAATATAGATAAGCTAGTTTTACCCTGTTGACAACCAAAATATGAAACTATTCTCTCATGTTGGAAATTCCGCAACAATTGTATCTCATTCTCTAACGCTCGCACTTCCTAAAAATACAAACACAGTGTAATATTTGAAGTTATATGATTTTATAAATGCAATTATGATTTGATTGATTGTTATGGAGTATCTGTGTCTCAGATGACCTTGGATATGATCACAATATTATAGCCACAAGCATGTCCTCTTGTTTTTGATTATGACATCACCAAATTGGACTTTTCACAAAATTTGAACTTCCCATGAGCAACAAAACAGGTGCTAAATGTGGTGCAGGACCTGCTTACTCTTTAAGAGCACCCAAGATATCACCCAATTTTTTCATGAGGTTCAAGATGCTCAGTCTATTTTTCTACGTAGTATGATGAGTACTGTTGTTTGTCTTGTGATTTTTCAGGGGTTATTTTGCCATTGTATAGTTGTTTTTTCTTCAATCTATGATTTTATAATGTCCCTTTGGTGCCATCTACCTCTTTTTTTTTAAATATGATAATCAAATTACAGAAACGTATGATTAAGTTATTTCATTTGGTTTCCAGCACACTCATTGGTATTCTACAATACTAGGTAGGAAAGAAATCCTATTAATGTACATAGCTCTTGGGTCACTTATGTGTGTGTGTGTGTGTCCATTTAATGTAAACAAACTACTTATATAAGTATGCCACTTTCTACTTTCCAATATTCAGTATTAAAAGAAGACACGAATACCCTGCTTAAGCTTCAAACAAACGAAAATGGGACCGACAGACGGAAATACGGAAGGAAAGAAGGACAGAAAGACGAAAGTACTAAGATGGAAAGACAGAAGGACGGACGGTCAAGAGTAACACTTAATGCGCCCGTCACCTACCTTGAGGGCATAAAAATGGGATTACTTTCATTCTTAATTTGAGAAAATAACCGCCTTCTTCCGGACCAACTTCACGACAACAACAAAATTATTTAAGTTGACGGTGCAAGGGTTTAACAGCAAGTCAAGGTCATTAAAAACCACCCAGCTAGTTATTTTGAGAAAGAGTTGAGTGAAGTGCAATGTAGTTCTCTATTATCTTTTCAATGGTGTTTTACACTGACTCTAAATATGTTTGACTAAAAGACCTATTCTTACTTTTGAAGCTTCTGCATTCATACTTGTAAGAGTGACTTGTTTAACAGCCAACTCTCGACCTGTATCCCTGTCATAACACAGGTATACTTCTCCAAAAGCTCCACTGCCTAACAGTTTACCCATCTGCCAGTTTACTGGAGCACGGGGAGCTGAAATAAATAATATATTTCTTTTTATTTAATTTATCTTAATTTTATTAGTATAGCTGTGGCTCAATATATCACTGTACTAAAAAAAAAAACTCTCAGGAAATTTTATTTTATTTATTCATTTCAAAGCTTTTATTAGGGCCTCTTTTCAGCACTTTCATAAGCAAAGTGGGTTTTTTCTGTTTTGATCTAAATATTTTATTTCTATAACAATTTTAAAATTATCCTATTAATTTGTAAGGTATTTTTAACATTGCCTCATATATAGTATTTGTTTATAAGAAAGTATTAAGCACTTATTCAAAAAGCTGCTCCAAGTTATACACAAACACACATCATATTACCATTGGCACACATGTACAATATATAAACACCTTTGATGTTGATTTACACACGTGTACAATATATAAACACCATTGATGTTGATTTATACACGTTATATAAACACCATTGATGTTTAGCAGGTTTAGAGCTCTTTCTTCCTGAAGGCTTAGTCAGTAAAAGATTGGTAAGTTGGCTTCCAAAGTATGTTGCAAGATTTGTTCAAGCGTTACAATTAATTGGACACTTCCCGATTGACCACGATATTGGTAGAATTGCAGTATCCTTAAATACAGAATACTGGTTTTGATTGGACAAATGATATACTGTTAATTCAGAAATTATTGCAAGGTTTTTATTAATACCAATAATGGGACTGGTTGAGTATCGTTATAATTCGCATTCTAATATCTTAAACATCTATCTGTTGCAAATTTTCCTGAAATCCAAATAAGGGCTATTCCATTAAAATGTATGTGGGAAGGTAGGAAGGGAAGTATAATTATTGAATGTGGGTCATGGGTCTTTTTTCAGTATGCGTCTATTACCATTATGCAAAATTATCTAAAAAATGGTTCTTGGTTGTAGGGATATTTTGAAAGTCCCTTCCTACCCTCCCACATACATTTTAATGGAATAGCCCTAATTAATCTTGCATTGTTTTCTATTTTCAAAAAATCGCAATAATAAATACATGCAATAATATCTGAATTTACAGTAATCAACCTGTTTATTTTAAATGCAATGCATAAACAAACATCCCAATTTTTGTAGAACACACTATTGAAAAAAAGAACTAGCGTCTGATTTAGTTGGAGTACAAGAAATTTTTTAAAATCTGGAATATTTAGAGAAAATATGTCACCTAAACATCTGTAAAAGTTGAATACAATAATAAATGATAATAATAAGAAACCATCTTGAAAATAATAAAAGTTAAAACATATCAAAAACGAACTATTAATGTTTAATCCTTGCTGATAAACATGTATTTAAGGAATTTAAGGAATGACTGTAATATTTTTCTGCCTATGAAGAAATAATATTAATGATGTGGTGCACACTGAATAACCCACATAATTATATATTCCATTTTTAAGGAGTAAATCGTGAAAAATCGTTGATGATGTCACGGTCACATGACAAAATTATGTATATGAGCTGATAGACAAAAAACTTTCAGCCAATCAAAAGATGTGATACATCTCAAATTAAATTATTAAAGATTGTCTACAGAATGACTAGAGTGAACAAAAATAACATCATTTGCATGCATGATTAAAACTGAATACAAAATGTTCCAAGTTAGATAAATATTGAAATTTCATGTGTTCATCCCACATACATGTGTGTACATATATATGTGTGTCCAATACACATTATTGATCGTTATACCATTAACTACACAGCACACAACAAAATTACAATTAAATTAGAGTACATTGATATGGGATAAATAAATATACATACGCTTGTCCGGTGAAAGACCTTAAACAGTTGGCATCAAAATTTATATATAATTTGTTTTCATCAAAGTTTTATCAGTTTCAGCTAACAGATTCAAGTGTATGAGAAACAAACACATTAGTTCACTTTCTTTCTTTCAATTTTTTTTTTTTTATATATGATGGAAAAACAAGAATGTGTTCTTAGTACACGGATGTCCCACTCCCACTATCATTTTCTATGTTCAGCGGACCGTGAAATTGGGGTCAAAACTCTAATTTGGTATTAAGATTAGAAAGATCATATCATAGGGAACATGTGTACTAAGTTTCAAATTGATTGGTCTTCAACTTCATCAAAAACTATCTTGACCAAAAACTTTAACCTGAAGTGGGACAGACGGACAGACGAACGGACGCACAGACCGAAAAACATAATGCCCCTAGGTGGGTCATAAAAATGAAAAGATGTATCAATTCACGACAAAAAAATCACTACACACACACACACACACAATATTAAAGCAAGGAACAGCGTTGTTGTTGCTGTTCTTTACCTCAAAGTCACATCGAGGCCTACAACATCACAACTCTCACCTCACTGTAAGTTCAAGACAGCCCTATGCACCTGATTGAAAGAGAGGCTTTGCTAGATATCAATCCCACTACATCTTCATTTTCCATGAAAAACACAGATGCAGGGTAATAACAAAAAAATGTTATCTGGCGTAGAAACTTATATAATTATAATCTTACTATTTGATTAAGTGCAATTAATTATAACTTATGTCTGCAATCAATATCAATTAGCAGATATGTGAAAATTTTAGGCTAAAAATAAAATTCAAATTGTTTGATGTTGCCTACCTACCCATCTAAAAAGCAGCTTACCTGAAAAATTTTATGACACAATTTGTTTCCGATTTTTTTAAACAGATATTTTACTGTTCTAACGTCGTTTTCTTCTCTTAAACATCATGAACATGTAACTTTTGCTGTTGGCCAAAAAAAAAAAAAAAAAAAAATCCCTACCTACCTACCCAACCCTACAAGACATGGATAGGCAACATCAAACAAAGAATTTTTGAAGGGTAGCCTTATAGTCTTAAGTTTGACGTGACCAAGGATCACTACAAACACCCTTCTCCTTTTAAAGAACTTTATATGAGATGAGCTTCACCACAAAATTATTTTTTTAAAGAAATTGACAAGATGGATAGTCTATGAAGTTTTTCATGTCTGCCAAAGTCATGATGATTACTTTTCAAATAACCAGGTCATCGTTAATAATCAAGACAATTATGGTCAAGATTTTTCAAAGTACCAAGTACCAAGATATTTTCCTTTCACAATTTCACTAAACTTACATTTAGAGAAGGCTAAATCTGACACCGGATTGAACACAGGACTATCTATATCACTATTTCTCTTTAAACTGAGTCGGCCCTCCGGTGAATCCATGTCGGGATCTGGAGGGAATCCACTGCTGCTACTACTATTGCTGAGAGCACCTGAACTCCCACGGGATAAAAGTGTGCTCCCTAACTCAGGCCGTCTCTGTACCATATTACTGGCACGTGGGAATGTTCTGTGGCCTTCAATGTCATGAGTGTTATGTGTATTTACATTGTAATTCCGTGGAAACGTATCAAACCATACTTTGCCATCTGAAAACAAAAATTATAAAAGATTCTAATATGTTTAATGAAATATGAATGTAACAGCACTTTTGATTGGATGGTGTCTGAAGTCAGTTCATTGGCAATAACTTGAGAAATAGCCATAGACAGATGTTTGTATGTAGCATTTCACAAAGCTTGATATCATATATAAGTTTAATAACATTTGGTTGAGGCAAACTAAAGAAAGAGGATGAAACAGCAAATTTAGCAAGGTTTCAATTTATAAAGGGACATAACTTGAGAACAGTGAAAGTGATGCCACCCAATTCAAACTTGATCTGTGTTTGGTGGTAATAAGCCTTGTTTATAAGTTTCATAACATTTGGTTGATGCAAACTAAAGTTAGAAAAAGGATACTAATTTTGAGACTTACAGAAGGACAAGGGTAAAACTTAATGCCCCCTCTGCCGTGGCGGGAGCATAAAAAACTATAAATGAAGAATCCATATCAAAAGATAGACAGGCAACTATCAATCTGATCAAAATACAGATCTTGTGTCTACCCAGAAATTTCATTGTAATAATCACCAGAACAAAAAATTGCTAAGCTTGGAGTCAGGATCGGTTTTTTAATCAGATTGGGCAACCATATTTTACTTATTAAAAATAAAACTGTACCACATACCCCCTGTTTCATCTTTAGATGATGCATCAGTTAATACACTTCTCCGTGAACCAGCTCGTATTCTAAATGGGTACGTGTCACCACTGTAAAACAAAATAAAATTGATTTTGTATATTTTCATTTTTTTTATAAATTTTAACACTAAATGCCATCAGTCATATAATGCATGTAAACTGTGTCGTTGGTCTCTTGTGGAGAGATGTCTCATTGGCAATCATACCACATCTTCTTTTTATAACCTGGTATAAACTTTAAGAATATGACAACGTTTTCAATTTACCATGATTTAAAATTTCATGGTATTATTTCTAAAATTATTTCTTAGGGACTAATATTTGCAGTTTCCAGTTTGCGAAAGTACTATTCTTAATAGGTTAATTTTCTCTTGGGTTTTTAATTTTATGGATAATATCTATCGCCAAATTGAAGGAATTTCAAACTCCAACAAAACTTTCTGTAGATATACTTACTGACTACTACTGGCATAACTTCCACTGTCCAGTGATGAGATACTACCGGTCATTTTCCCTGATCCTTCTGGACTATGGTATACACCCTAAAAAAAATCATTATATTTAAATATCCATCGGTAAGCATTAATTGTACTGTGTAACAAGAATGAGTAAGCTAAATTGAATCATTGACAAGGACAATGATCAGCATTTCTGTCACTGTAACTGAGAAATAATTCTTATTTTGGGATTTATCAATTTTTACTGAAATGAAAATATATCATTAGAGGGACATTTGGATTACAGAGCAGTGTCTAATGAGTAATGAGGTACTGTAAGTTCAGAAATTATTGTGAGGCTTTTATTAATGTACCATTGACGTCACACACTTATCACTTTCTTTGGTGCATCACACAGATTTTTCTTAAGATCCCATAACTTACTGACATATCTGTGACAAATACCAAGAATTACCTTTATTTTCATCTTTTTTGAACTTTTTTCTTTTGCTCTGTTCTATAGAAAATGTCTAATATTCAAATTATAATGTATTTATAATAATGATATTGTATATCTTGCATGTATTATATTGTATGTAACTTAGAGTAGCCATAAGCAGCTAAATTATTTGACCCTCATATGCACAACTACAACTGCCTGACTCAATTGATACCAGGAAATGTCTTACCTCATCCCCATCCTCAGGAATGAACTCTCCTTCACTATTAACAGAGGTACGTGAAACACTATGGGATATTCCATGTGGCAGGTGTCCAGGTGGTGGGCTAGGTGATTCTCGGTAGTCAGAATGTTTGGAAGACTGAAAAACAGACAAATTAATAATATATTATTTATTCACAATAAGCATATAAAAAAATTGTTAAATTTTAAAAAAAAATATAAAAGAATGTGTCCATGGGACACAGATGTCCTGCCCCTACTTGTACATAAATTTGTTAATATATAATCTTGAGTCAATATGCTAATGCAAACATTTGAGCGTGGAAATAAAACTTTGCGTCAGTATATGTAATAGTAAGAGTGGGGACAAAAGAACTTTTCTATTATAAATAGGCATAACTAAAAAACAGTAAAATTGACAGAGTGCCCCTAAATTCTACTTTGCAATTTTCCATTTATAAATGGGCATAATACAAGAAAAGTGAAATTAATGCCTACCAAATTGATCTTTGTTTGGTGGTTATAAGCATTATGTATAAGGTTGAGGCAAAGGAAAGTTAAAAGTGCGGAAATGACAATTTCAACAATTTTTCCATTTATAAAGAGACATTACTGGAGAATGGTAAAAGTGATGCCACTCAAATTTTATCTTGATCAGTGTTTGATGGTAATTTGCATTGTGTGTCATAACATTTGGTTGTGGCAAGGTAAAGTTAGAGTGTGGAGACGGCAAATTCAGCAATTTTTTTTCCAATTTCAAGATTTACATACAGACAGAGGGATAAGGTCATACCTTAATACCAGCTGTGGCTAACTGAGAAAACTAAATAAATAAAAATTACTCAAAATAATGATGATATTTACAATTTAATACCAAAAGCTGAAATAGGACTGCATTGTCAATTTTCCGTCTCTAAAAGTTGCTCTAGCTGAATTTTTTAGATAAATTTCCGAAAATGGAATAGAAGTCTTCACATATAAATTTTCAAACAGAATAAATTTTGGACTGTAGTAACAAATTCATTCTAACAATGGACATGATTTTCGAAAACTAAAATGTTGCTGTTTGTTATATCTATTCAAATGAAATAATCAATGGCATATTAAGACTGCCTGTACTAACCATTGTACCAAATCCACTCTCACTAGCCGAGTCTTTGGACTGATGTTTTCGAACATTAGTATAACCACAGCCGGCTGGAGGAGACAGGAATAGTCGAAGACTTGTGATTTTCTCATTCTTGTCCACCAGATCAATGGCTGCATCTAATTCTTTTTGATTTGTGATTGGTATGTGTACCTACAAATGAAGAAAAAGCTTATATTACTAAAACATATTGGAAATACTAACATATATATGCAGTTGTATATAACTAGTAAAGCAATTTCAATTGATATTTTATAGTGTGTCTTTCTATGTTGTGATGTTACACTATTGTTTCAGGTAGGGTGAAGGTTGGTGACTACTAAAACGTTTAAACCCGCTGCATTTGTTTGCACCTGTCCTAAGTCAGAAACCTTTTGTTCAGTGGTTGACGTATGTTGATTTGGTCCGTAAGTGTTTCCTTCGTTTTTTATATAGATTAGACTGTTGGTTTTCCTGTTTGAATTGTTTAACACTAGTCATTTTAGGGCCCTTTTGTAGCTTGCTGTTCGGTTTGAGCCAAGGCTCTGTGTTGAAGGCCCTACTTTGACCTGTAATGGTTTACTTTTTACACATTGTGACTACTTTTGCTGTTGTCTATGTTTTCTGTCCAAATTTGGTAAAATCCAGGATGGTTTATGAATCTAATAAATGTTTTAAAAACTTTAACCACAGAGTGAATGTAATGTTAACTATAAGTAATATATGGATAAACGGGATTTTTTTTTTTACAAAATTTACTTCTGGATACTATCTTATAATCATTAACAAGCTTCTTTCCAAGTTTGGTAGAAATCCAGGATATTTTATGAAAGTTATTAAAATTTCAAAAACTCAATCACAGAGTGAATATTTGTGGATGCCGCCACCGATGACGGAATGTAGGATAGCTATGTGTCGCTTTTGCTACAAAAGTTGCAGGCTCGACAAAATTCACCTCTCCATTTGCCTGTGTGAAGAATATCATTAAATCCATTGTATACATCTCTGATACTTTCATTCTCAGGTGGCTGTACGTCAGTGGTCTGTGTATGTTGATACTCCTGAAAAACAAAAAAACAAAAATTTTAGTCATGTAAACCAATTCAACAACACTGAAGGTAAGAATCATGTCCAGTTTGATATTTTAACATATTAAATACAAGACCATATGATCTACTAGCATGACTAGTAAATTTCTCTGTTTTTTTTTTAAATTGTTTTTTTTTCGTTTCGGATGTGGGGAGGTTGCTTTCTCAATGATGCAAAGCGAACCTACATACTTCTAGCATATATTTATATTTTGCATGCAATTATTAGAAAGTAAAATAACAAAAACAAAAAATACAAGGAAAATTCAAAACAGATGGGTTCTTCTGAAATGCTCAAACACAACATCAAATGAATTTAAAACAACTGTCATATTTCTCATTAAGTCATGGCATTTCCATATGTAGAAAAATGGTGGATGAAACCTGGTTTTATAGCTAGCTAAACCTCTCACTTGTATGACAGTCACATAGAATTCCATTATATTGACAATAATTATGTGTGAACAAAACAAAATGACAAAATAGGTAATCAAAGAAGAATGTGTCTGAGGACACGAATGCCCCTGCTCAGGCTTTGTAACAGAAATGGGACAGACGGAAGGAAAGACAGAAGGACGGAAAGACAGGTGGACAATGTTAACACTGAATGCCCCTGTCGCCTACCAGGTACAGCAGTCAACATTGTATTATGATCTTAATAAATTTAAGGGACATCATCATGATGGGTGACATTTTCTAGAAATGACTTTGTTTTCTCCATTACTTCTTCTTACACATACTGTACGTTCAAATTTTTTTGGATGAAAAAGAAATTGTGTTTTTATAGATATTTGATTTTGAGGTTTTGCCAAAGTCAGCATATGGTCACTTAACTGGGTCATTTGATTGAGTTTTTTTCACAGACTATTCCATGTAGTCAAACATTTCAAATAAGTCTAATAAATCTTGTTTATATTGACCCTAAAATAAAGGTCACTAAATGACCTTTAATGTATCTAATACAGAAATAAAATTATTATCAAAACATTCACATAATTTTCTTTAAGTTCCAAGTCCAACATCCAGGTCTCTTTTTCACATTTCATTAGAAACCCTTTTCTGATCAACACAGGATTAAGTAAATTTCACCTTTCAAAATCAGTATAAATTACCATTTGATCCTATTTTAAACTCAGCAGCTTTTCAAACCCATCCATCCGCAACATTTGTTCTTACATAAAATACTAAGCACTAACATTACAATTAATAGTCGAAGATTTTTATCTATTTAGATCACGTAATTTGATTTTCAATTTTCAATTTTACTTCATTTTCTCACTGTTTGAAATTGAATGCACTTTTACTTGTACCCAACAAATTGCTCAAGGTTAAATCAAATGTTATTTTCATTTCAAAAACATGTAATACAGTACACCTCTACATTAAGTCAAGGTAAAAACTATAATCCCATGATATAACAGGCTGCTTTTTTTAGGGGGGGTTAAAGGAGGGGAAAGTTGTTGAGATACTTATCTAGTCTTACTGAGAGGGATAACCTCTACATTAAGTCATGGTAAAACACTATAATCCCATGATATAACAGGCTGCTTTTTTTTTAGGGGGGTTGAAGGAGGGGAATGTTGTTGAGATACTTATCTAGTCTTATTAAGAGGGATATCTAAAGGTCAACCTATGGTCTCAGACTATCAAATAGTTATATAAATCAGGCTTAATATCATCCCCAGTCTAAAAAATAATTTTTAATCATTGTTAATGGAGACCATCAAATAACTGTCAACCTAAAAAATGTTAATCTTTAAAATCTTAAGAGATCTTGAGAAAACAAACAGACAATCCCCTGTATAGAACCTCTCTAATACAATTAAGCCTTGTTCTTTTACAAAAACAGTTTTATATAACAAATTGCATTTCTTTTTCTTTGTGTCGCTTGTACCTAATACACTCTATGTTTGATAACAACCAATTTGTCCCTGTTTATACATACATAAAACCACAATCTAACTGCATCAATGATATTCCCCTGTAAAATAGCAATCAATACTTGAAAGACTTTTTATTCAAACTCTAATAATTTTTCGATGTAAAGGCATTTAAATCTTTACTGAAATGTTAACAAATTTCAGAATTTAAAACTTTTTGATTGACTTTTAAATTCATAAATTATTTTCGATAGATTTGTTGGCAATAAAATTTGTTTTCAATTTTTATTTGATAAAGAAAATTACCGAGGATGAGAACTTATAAATGCGAATTATTTCAATTCTAAGCTATTTGTTAGACTGATCTAATACACTGAATCCCCTTTCACTGACAACACTTGTCTTCACTTAAAATTTATCAAAAACAAGCATTCTGAGAGTATTGCATGGCAATACATAGTCCCCTACCAGTTAATAATTCATTATACTGTAACAAAATGCTAACTTGATCTATTACTTGTTATGGTGTAAACTATATAACGAATTGTCAATATCTTAAAGCATGACGAAATAAAAAGTGTTGAAAACTGATTATTTGAGTGAATTTTCTAAGTCCAGGGACCATAACTCTGCACAAAATTACAAGACCGCAACAAAATTCAAACTTGATCTTTAACTTGTCATGATAAAATTATATACCAATTATTAAATCAATATCTTCAAGCATGACAAAAAAAGTGCAGAAAACTATTTATTTGAGTGAATTTTCTAAGTCCAAGGACCATAACTCTGCACAAAATCATCAGACCGGAACAACATTCTAACTTGATCTTTAACTTGTCATGATAAAATTATATACCAATTATTAAATCAATATCTTCAAGCATGACAAAAAAAGTGCAGAAAACTATTTATTTGAGTGAATTTTGTAAGTCCAAGGACCATAACTCTGCACAAAATCATCAGACCGGAAAATAATTTGAACTTGATCTGTAACTTGTCATGATAAAACTATATACCAAATTTCAAATCAATATCTTCAAGCATGAAGAAAAAAAGTGTGGAAAACTAATTTGGCAGACTGACTGATTAGACAGACAGACAGACAGACAGACAGACAGACAGACAGACAGATGGACGGAGTGCAAACCTAAAGTCCCCTTCCACTTCGTTGATAGGGGACTACTAAACTCTTGTGTCAAGACAAACAATATGAAATTATTAATTCAACACATTTTGCAGGGGTAAATTATAAATAGTTTTCTATGTGAATAAAAGATTTGGGGTATATGTCAATAAGACAACACCCAAAAACAAATAAATGGGGAATGTGTCCATGGGACACAGATGATGCCCCCAGCTTGCATATCATATAAAGTTATAAAGGGACATAACTGAAGAACAGTAAAAGTGACGCTACCCAAATTTGTACTTGATCTGAGTTTTGTGGTAATAAGAATGGTGTATAACATTTGGTTGAGGCAAACTTAAGTTAAAGAACGAAAACGAAAAATTCAGCAATTTTTCCACTTGTAAAGGAGCATAACTCTAGAACAGTAAAAGTGACACCACCAAAATTCAAACTTGATCTGTATTTTGTGATAATAAGCATTGTGTATAAGTTTCATAATATTTAGTTGAGGCAAACTAAAGTTATTATAAGAATGCTGAGAATGCTGAGAATTATTAGGACTATTCATCATGTTCATGTTAACATTTCTATGAAGAATTATCACCCAGATTGGGCATATTTACTTCTAAAGTAAATTTTACCTCTATTCAGATTGACTGATTGGTGTTTAACGCCACTTTCAACACTGTTGTGCTATTTCATGTGGTCAGTTTTTATTGGTGGAGGAAGCCGGAGTTCCCGAAGAGAACCACCGACCTTCGGTAGGAAAACTGACAATCCTAGTCAATTAAGATTTGAGTCGAGTGCACTCACCCCGTGCGGGATTCGAACTCACAACCTCAGTGTTGACTGGGTAGTGATACAGTAGTTTGACTACTTAGACCACTTGGCCACCGAGGCCCCTACCTCTATTCAGACCTAAAACTCTGCCATACTCCTTATTTTACCGCAAAATAATATAAACACCATACAAATCTAATGTAAAACAGAAAACTTAACATTTTTCTGTGGAGCAGGAATCAATTGATGGGAATATGCTCAAGAAAGACAACTCTTAAAGAAATATGCAAACTGATAAGGTATCTTAATATTAAAAGGGTGATATCAGTGAACTTAAAAGAAAAATAAATGGAGAATGTCCATCGGACACAGATGATGCCCCCGCTTGCATATAATGTTATAAAGAAACATAAGTTAGAGAACTGAAACGAAAAATCAATTTTTCCATTTGTAAAGGGGCATATAAATCTAGAACGGTTAAAGTGACACCACTTAAATTCATATTTGATCTGTGTTTTGTGTAATAAGCATTGTGTATAAGTTTCATAACATTTGGTTGAGGCAAACTAAAGTTAGAGAAGGGAAACCAATTTCGTGACATACATATGTATGCATGTACAGACGGACAGGGGTAACACTTAATGCCCCCTCAACTGTGGTAAAGGGGAACCAAAACAAGTCATATTATTCAGTAAAAAGACTGACTCTCTCTAATACTTGCTATAAAAGCAGTCACAGAAAGAAGTAATTAAGCCCAAGGTTAACGCATAGTTTCTTCTAAAGATAAAATACAAATTCTTTTTATATTTTTTTCTTCTTTTACCTAAAAAAAATTAAGAGGACTTTTACCAAGTTTAGTCTAAATAGTTACAAAACCAAAGAAAAAGATGTTTAAATCATCTTCCTAACTTCGTTGATACCCATGCAAGCATATATGACCATTATTTTATAAGTTTATTCTTTATCCCAACTTATAAAATTCTGAAGTTGCTACTTAAAAGCTGTTGAAAATTACTCAAATATTAGTTTTCTGGCTTCAATACCCCAGACAACACTTCCCAAGTAAACAAAAGGAAGCACAAAGGATAGTAAATCTATTTTTGTCATCATTTTCAAGTCATACTTATCATAAGTATACAAATATCAAAATAAAATGTCCTGTTAGTCAATCAATCCTGCCA